AATAAAATGATTAAAAACAAATAAGCTCATTGCCACTGAGTCAATGACAACTCACAGCGACCCTCTAGGACAGAGTAGAACTGGGTTCTACTTTGGGTTTCTGAGACTTTAAAAATCTTTGCAGGAGTAGGTAGCGCCATCTTCCTCCCAAGGAGCAGCTAGTGCGTTCGAACCACTGACCTTGTAGTGAGTAGATCCATGTGTAACCCACGAGGCCACCAGAGCTCCTCTGGTTTGTAGCCAGGCAGGTTAACCATTTATTTCTGTCCCCTCGGGATTTGGGAGAAGGCCCCCTAACATCGTGTTGTTGTTGTTGTTGTCAGGCACTGTCCAGTCGGTTTGGACATAAAGGAACCCTGAGCACAAGGGAACGATACATGGCCCGGACCTGCACCGTCCTGACCCGACAGCTGTTCCTGTGTTTGAGTTCATTGTTGCAGCCATGGTGTCAATCCTTCTTGTCTAGGACCTCCCTCTTTTGGTCACTGCTCCTCTACTTGCCCAGAACCACAGCACATCGGAATTCCTGAGAAAGTCCCCTCCCCTGAATTGCCCTTGGATCGAGGCTCAAAGATTGAGGCCTTCGATGGAAACCAGGGCCCGGAGGATTTGAAAATGTCCCCACCAGGGAGAAGAAGCAGTGTCACGTCCTGTAACATCAACCACGCTCGTTGTGAGTTTCTGAGGACACGCTGTCTATCCATGACGGTGCAGAGTCTGCACCAGGCTCTTTCTTACGGTGGAAGAGGAAAGCCAAGGGAAACTGTAACCTTTTTTGGCATTTGGTGGGTGTGTTAGACAGGGTTCTCTAGAGACATAAAACCAGATTGCTGATAATTTTATATATATACTTATAAAGATATATATATATATAACACAAGAAATGAACTGTTAAATTATAAACAGATAGATATATAATACAAGAAATGAACAGTTAAATTATAAAGCACTGCAAATGGCTCAGTGCAACTCACTCCCGTGAGAGAGTTGTGAGACATTAGCAGTCCTTCAAGTCTTAAGGGCTGTCCAGTAGTCCTCTGTAGAGAGAGAGAGCTAGGCTATCCCAGCACAGGCAGCAAAACAGCCAGGCAGGTCACCAACTGTCAGCCAGGTCATCAACTGTCAGTCCTCAGCTCCAGAGATGTAAATTTCAATCATAGAACAAGCAAGGCAGCCGCACACTGGTCTGATGATCAAAGAGTGAGAGACAAGAAAGGCGAGGCTCACCGAGTCATTTGTAGTGCTTTATAATTTAACTGTTCATTTCTTGTACTATATCTGTTTATAATTTAACAGTTCATTACTTGTGTTATATATCTATCTGTTTATAATTTAACAGTTCATTTCTTGGGTTATATATATCTATCTTTATAAATATATGAAATTATCAGCAATCTGGTTTTATCTCTCTAGAGAACCCTGTCTAACACATTTTGGTACCAGGAGTGCTTCTAGAGAAATAAAATAATAAATATGGGCTTCTTAAATTGGCTCTCCAGCCTGATTAGTCTTAACACTAGTGATGCTACTTCAACACCCCAAAGCATGGATAAGTCTGCTACTCCTCCTAATCCATGGTGTGAAATAGCAAAAATAATACCTACAGTAGCACCACCGATAGATGAGGTGCTGGTTAAAGGAGAGGCTCTGAGTGATCATATATGTTTGATATTTTCCAGGAGTTTTGTAAGGATGACAAGTACAGGGAAGCTGGTTGGCTGGTCCTTCTTACAATGGAAAGTGTGATTAAGGAGAGGGATGGTCTCAGAGCCTCAAAAGCTCGCCTCAGGTGCAGACTAATGGATTTGAAAACTTCCATCTGTGCTACAAAGGAGAGCCTTCTCTCCTCTAGTAAAAGAGCTGACATTGCTGAGAACCAGGTCTCATTATACAAGCTGCTGAATTACAACGGCAGCTGAATTGCAGATCTAGGCATTGATTGGGAAAAGTTGGGACCCTGAAACATGGGATGGGAACATATGGGCTGATGATCCAGAAGAGGAGGATATTGAGCCCTGGGTGCTCATTGCGTCTGCTTTGTGAGATTGAGGAGGACTTTGTGGACTGGTGTTGGACATATGGGTTAATGGGTGAATATTGGACTTGTGGGCTTGGGCAGCACTGGGTTGGGATGTTTTATTGATGCACAGTTAACCTTTATATAAAACTCTTTCTTTTACATGAGTTTCTGTGGATTTGTTTCTCTAAAATACACAGACTAATACATTATGGTATCTTGGGAGTGGGGTACTGGAGAAACAAATCATAAGATAGAGAGTAGATGTTTGTTTGACCTCTCCCTCATGGAAATTTCCTTTTTTGTCTAGCCAGAAGTCAGATAAAGCCATACTATTTACTTGGTTGCTTTTCTGGGGAAAATATGGGAAGGAGGAAAATAAAAGTTTATAAGTCCACTTGCTTCAGTCATTAAAATTTGATCTTTAAATGGGTTTAGGCCATGTCTGTAAAAAAGCTTTGAAAATATATGTCCCACCCAGCTTTGGAATACTAAGGAACCAGTAGTCTGTGTCAGAAGCAGGAAAAAAATCTGGAACCATGAAGAAAACTCCTCTCTGGGACTGAATGTTAAAGGGAGCCTGTGAGCAGGCTGAAATGCTTGTTAGTGATCACCTGGATCTACTTGTTGAGTGGAAGTGGGAGAAATGCAGCAATAAAGAGACAGGTTGAGTTTGGCCATGACACCTGTGGACTAGGTTTATAGGAAAAAAAGGAGGAAAGGAGAGCGGGTTGACTGGTCTGAGGTTCATGACCTAGCCTGAGGGGACTAGGCTTGTTGAGTATTGTTCAGAGCCCATGGCCTAAGGCAAGGCAACCAATGGGCACCCTGTGGAGGCTCAGTGAGGCAGCCCACATTGAGTTGACCAGAACCCGAGCAGCTGGAGATTTTGGAGCCTGTGAACTGGGACATATTGTTGCTGACTTTGTGGATGGCCTGTCCGGATTTAACTTTGCAGACTTTATGGATGCAGACTTCACAAGGTTCCAACTGGAATGAAGACTCTTCATGTCGAAAAATATGATTGTCTTCTCAGAGAACTGGGTTGATGTAAGTGGGCAGGATATATATTGGATACCCAAAATTGGGGGAGATAAAGGCATGAAGCGGTTGGCTTACAAACTTTCATAGGTGGGGGAAAAAATTCACAGGATTATAGGGTTAAGATGTAGGTGTTACTTAATTGCAATTGTGATGCTAAAGAATTATGTACAGGTGCCAGGTTGGCAAGGGGTGGATTGAGTTAGTTAGTTTATTGTGCCAACCTGGCCGATAAACACATGTGGGATTAATTGAAGGGTGGAGGGATGAATGGCTCGGTGAGCCTAGACTAATACAGTGGATGATGAGGCTTTAATCTTGTGGAATTTAGATTTTCTCCACCCTCTTCCCACGTTTTCCCCACCCTGTGCCACCCCCTGCTCCTCACCTCAGATCCAGTCACCTTCCCAAGGGAAAACCCAGGTCCCATCTCCTGTGAGGGAGTTGCTTCCCTGAAATAATGGGTGACTCTTTTGATTGTCCAGCTGTAGGAAGCCCTGCGGTAGGGGCCGGCCCAGGGGACAGACAGTACCTGGGTGCCTGAGCACCCTCAAGCCACAGCTCCCTGGTGCTTGCAGCAGGTCTTTCATATTTTCTGGAGTTAAGGATAATGGTCCCCGTCCCCACCCCCCCACCTGGATTTCCCATCCACACCCAAATCTACAACCATGTGCACACACAGCTGCCTCAAACCAAACAGCAGCATACAGCCCCCTTGCCATCACGTCTCGTCCAGTGAGTGGAGGGTAGTGTTTCTGAGACTGTAAGCCTTCGTTGGAGTAGACCCTTTCTCTCGCAGAGCCACTGGTGGGTTTGAACTGCCCACCTGGGAGTTAGCAGCCTGACGTCTAACCAGCAAGGGCTCCGTATGGTGTGAAAGAGTCTCAGCACAAGAGAGCGTAAAGGCAGACCTGGTCAGGGTACTTCTCTTGGGGTCAGGCCTGGCCAGTCCCCCTCTCTACAGCCCTTTGAAGCCTTTTCCCCTCTTCCAGTTTCCCCAATATTAGTTCTGATCTGTTTACAGTTGTTGGCAGATGGCAGGACCCTGTTAGATATTTGCTAGATTCCAGCTCTCACTGATGGCCCCCCTGCACCAGTCAGTGACACCCCCTCCACCCCCGCCCCTGGCATGGGCTGAAATGTCAAATGCCCAGCGTGCAGAGGTACAAACGGGGGCCCTTGGCAGACTGGCATGGCTAGCCTCAGGGCTCCCCTTGGTGGCTTGGGGTTGCTATCTTCTTTTGCACAGCGGCTGATGGTTGGGGGTGGGCGGTGGGGGAGCCTCTGCTTGGTGTCCTCCTCCTTCTGAGGCTCCGCCCAAAGTCTAAGGTTCCCCCTAGGGGGTTTGGAGATGTCACCTGGGGCAAGGAGATTTCCTTCACCCCAAAGTGAAAAAGCAAGTTCGTCTGGTGGGGTCTGCGGGCTGCAACCGCCGTCTAGGGGCGGGTGTGGGGTGGGGATGAGAGTCGGACTGTGGCTCGAGGTGGGGGCTGTGGTGTGGCTATCCCTGCCGGTGCCGAGGGGCGTGTGCGTGCTTGCGTGTGTGTGTGTGTGTGTGTGTGTGTGTGTGTGTTGGGCAGGTCGACTGGAGGGTGGGAGGGGTCCCTCTCTCCTCCCCTCCCCTGCAGCCCCAGCTGGTCCGCCGCCTCTGAGGTTCCACCTTTGAAACTGTAAGCGGCTCGCTGCGGCTGCAGAGTGGTGGTCGGGAGGCGGGGGCCCGGGGGCGCTCCGGCGGGGGAAGGAGTCTGGCCCTGGATGTGTGCTTTGCGATTGATGGATGACTGCCGGGTGGGGGCGAGCGTGCGAGTGTGAGAGTGTGTGTGTGTGTGTGTGAGTGTGTGTGCGCGCGCGCTGAGTGCGCGCGCGCGCGGGGCCTGCCCATTTTCCTCCTCGCAGCAGTCAGTCGGGAGCTGGAGGGAGGGCGAGAGGGAGCCCAGCCAGCCAGAACCCGGAGAGGAGCCGAGCGCCCTCCGCCCGAGGCGCCCTCCCTGGGTCCGCGCCCAGGCGCCGGCGCTCGGAGGAGCAGGGTGCCTCCCCGGCCGCCCGGGCGCTGCGTCCCAGCCCGCGGTCTGCTCGGCGGCTCTGCCCCGGGACTGCACCTGGAGGCGGCCCCGGACGGGCATGGTAAGCGGCTGCCGCTGCCTGGCTCGCAAGCGGGACGCAGCGAGGGCACCATGGTGCTGATGCCCCGGAGGGGCCCCCCGGCGGGGCTCGTTCGGCCCGAGCTCTGGCTGCTGCTGTGGGCAGCCGCGTGGCGCCTGGGTGCCACGGCGTGCCCCGCCCTCTGCACCTGCACCGGCACCACGGTGGACTGTCACGGCACGGGGCTGCAGGCAGTCCCCAAGAACATCCCACGGAGCACGGAGCGCCTGTGAGTATGCCCCCCGCGGCCCGCAGCGATCCGCCCCCCACCACCAACCCGCCCCCGGTTGACCTCCTGCTCAGGCGCAATTCAGGACCGTTGGAGAGCCGACTCCGCAGCCACTAGACGGGCCATTGACTGTGAGAGTCCATTGCCAAGCTGGGAGCAGGGGCGCAGCTTTTCCCTCTCTCCCGGATTTCAATGACCGACCCTTGCGGGGGTGGGGTGGGGGTGGGGGATTGTCAGCTGCCCACCCTCACACCTGCACTAGTGCTCAGTGCGGGCAGGCCCTTCCCACTGCGCCAACACTTGATTCCTTACAAGGTGCCTGAGAATCCGTGCCAGAAAGCCCTTCTGGCACCCCGGAGGGAAGCTTCCCACACTCACCAGACCCAAGGTCTCCTTTGGCGCCCAGGGACCTTGGGGTGGTTGTTGTTGTTGGTGGTGGTGTGGGGTTGGCGCTCTGAGGGCCTGCGGGTTGGTGAGGGGCCACAGGGTGGGATTGGGTTGGTGCTTTCCCTCTCCCCCTCCTCCCTATTGTTTGCCCCCAGCCTTTCCTGTTCTCCGCTGGCAGGTGTCAGGCATGAGTCCCCCACTTGGCCACTTCTCTCTTATCTAGCCATCCCCAGCTCAGACAGACAATGGGACCGAGGGGCTTTGGGGTTGGGCCATGGAGTAGGTTACTTTCAACTCCTAGATAGCGGGTAGATGTGTCCTGGGCCCGATGCCCCTTGGATCATGCCTGGAAGTCCGGAGCTTGGCGTGGGAGGCGCAAGGGCAAAGGAATTGACCGTGAGGAGTCTTAAAACCTCATTTTTCTTCTCCTTATTCTCTTTGGCTTCTGAATTTATAAGGACCTTCAGCCCTAAGCTTGCTGAGCTTTATTTTAGTGTGTGTGTGTGTGTGTGTGTGTGTGTGTGTGCATGGCCAGTCTGTGTGTGTTTACAGACCTGTATGATTGGTTTGGGAGGTCCGGCCGCAGAATATTCGTGGGTTTGAATTCCGCGAGTCTGTGGCGCCCCCCTCTGAGTCCAAGGCTGCGAGATGAGATTCCCCCAATTCGTGGGCTGAGCCTGTGGCTGGCTGGCACGCTGTGTGTAGGGCCTTTGTGCTGCGCACAGAGTGTGGTGACTGCCCCAGGAGATGTTAGAACTGGACTTTGCCGAAGACTGCCGGCTCCTTCCCCACACTCCTGGGTGGCTGCAGTGGCTTGCAGACGTATGTTGATAACTTTTCAGCACATTTTCAAAGCTCCCAGCCCATCAGAGGCAGAAACTTGATCCTGGGAAGAGCTGTCTCCAGGATCAAACTCTGTGCCCAGGTCAGCAATTAGCGAGACACATTTGTCCCAGCCTCTTCTGGGCTGAGTCTGAAAATTTCCCTCGGAGGCTTTGGAGAATTTCAGTCTTCTTTGCCCGTCTGGGCATCTGTGTGTGTGCACCAGCGTGTGTGTGAGCCTGTGTGGAAGGATGAGGAGGAAACAGTGGAGAGGTGAGAGGCTGAGTGAGATTCCCTGGGGTAGTGTGTGCTTCAGCCTGTGTGGGCTTAAGAAGAACTGAGGACAGAGTAGCCTGTCCTGAGGACCCCTGAGGGTCACCCTTCAGGTCCTGACCCCTTGTCTGTCCTCTGAGTTGTGCATCCCAGAGCTGTTACCCCGGCAGCAGCCTAGAGCTGGGACACACCAGCTCCTCTGCTTCCCTTTTGAGCTGGAATTTCAAACGTTGTCTCCTTGGCCCAGGCCCTCCTGCATCTTCATTTTAAGGGCAGCATCTGTTTTGAACCCCTTTGAGATCAGAGTAAGATGGGATGGAATATCCTAGTTCAGAGGAAAAGAGTTGGGGTGGTGGGATTGCCCTGCCTGGGGTGGAGCCTCAGCTTTACCATTGATTAGCTGTGTGACCTTGGACAAGTTACGTAATAACTTCTCAGAGCCTTGCTGCTTTCCATCAGGAGAACGAGCCTGCGGATACCTAATAGCCCTGGTTCTCAGAGGACTGAAGCTGAAGAGTGGGAAGTGCCTGGGATGGATGCTGCTCTCAAATTAGCGCATGATGATGACAGCACCGGAAGCAGAGCCTCGCTATTTGATTCAGGGACCTCTCTGAGGCCAGGACCTGCTCTGGGTGCTGAGGCTTCAGCAGGGAGTGTGCTCTTCTCTGCCGTCCAGAGGCGTAGGACATAGAGGACCAGATGGACACATCTAGCTGTAAGCTCAGAGAGAGGGCCAGACTGGTGGTAGCGCTGAGAGTGGGGGAATTGGATCACTCACTCACTCACTCACTCACTCACTCACTCACTCACTCACTCACTCTCATAGCAATCCTGTAGGACAGGGTAGAGCTGCCCCTGTGGTTTCTGAGGCTATACAGCTTTACAGAAGCAGAAAGTTTCATCTTTGGCTGATGGATTTAAACCGTTGACCTTGAAGTTGAACCCACCAAGCCACCAGGGCTCCTTAGGATGGGAAGACCTATTTTGGGATGAAGAAGCTTCTCAGAGGTCAGGCTGTTTTGCCAGGACGTGGGTGGTTGAGTTGGATTTGGCACGCAGAGAGGGGAGGCTATCCTGGTGGAGGGAAAGGCAGGCGTGGAAAAGCCCGTGGGTGGGAGGGTACTCGGCCCGATGGGTGACCTGGCTAGCGTTTCTCCGTGGCTGAAGCATGCCGTGCCCAGTGGGCTGCAAAGAGCGGCTAGGAGGGACCTGGGAGGCTTTTCTCTTTAATTTGGCTTTTTGGAACTCTTCTGGGGTGGGGTGGGGGGTGGGAGGAGGTTTGGGCTTTACTGTGAGCACAATACTACTCAGGTCGGGATGCAGAAAGCACAGGGAGCGGAGAAGGAGCCATCCGAACACCCCCGAAGGAGGCACTGGTGAGCGCCCGGGAGGACTTAAAATAACTGTGGCAAATGCGCTCACTAATCAATACGCACGTGCCCTATCCAAGCCTGGAGTAGCGGCTTCTTCAGAGACTGAAATTTTTATAGACTGCAGCTGTGCATGGTTTTTTTTTTGCCTTTTGTCCTCTGGGCAGTTTCTACGGCAGCCTGTGAGTTTATGATCATATATTCCATAACTCCCGGCCCAGACTCTGTTCCCGCCCCCCCCCCCAAGTGGGCAGGAACTGTCGTTGGCTAGCTTCGGGGACTTCTGGAAAGAGGCCGTGCGGGGCCTCAGAGCTGCTGAAGAAATTGGTTCAGCCAGAGGGGCTTCAGGGCTGGTGGGCCGGATGGGAAGGTACTAAATAATTCACTGTAATGAACAATTGAAATACAGTGCCCGTGGTGGGAGACCGGGGGCGCGGCAGCTCTTTGTAGGGCCGGGACTCAGCGTTCCAGCTGTGACCTCTGTTCTCCTCCCTCCCTTCCTCCCCTCCCACGCAAGGTCCGTAACTTCCAGGTGAATTTTGTTTTTTTAATTAAAAAAAATTTTTTGTGTGAAAGAAAAACTAAAAAAAAAAAAAACCAAGAAAAGACATCAGGGGCTATTTTTGGTTGAAGGCTTACATTTTGATGATTCTCTTAGGGTGATAGTTTTGGGAGTTCCTCCAGCCTCCATGGCTCTAGAAAGTCTGGATTCCATGAGGATTTCAAATTCGGTTCCACATGTCCCTCGCTTTTGATTAAGATGAGGGCCAGATGGCTAACACCAACCTAAAGGTCAGATAGGAAGGGGTGGGGCGCGGGGCAGCGCGCTGACACTGAGGGAGAGGCACAATGGGGAGAAAACAGGTGAGCATGGCTGGGGAATTCCCGGAGCACCTGACAGGCCACTGCAGCATGCCTGCGGGGGGGATTGTGGACGTCTGCCTTTGGCCGTGCACCCGTCCTCCACAACAATACACAAGGGAAACCACCACCACCTCTCTGAGCCCACGTATCCGGAAGTGTGTGAGATGAGGGTGAGGTGGGTGTGGAAACGGTTTCCCCTCTCCACCTTGGACTCTAGCACCCCTGGTTCCCTTGTGGAGCAGGGAGCACATCCTCCGGGCCCGCTGGCAGGTGGTGAGGATGGAAAGCAGGAGAGGAGGGTGGCTGGCTTCCGTATGCACCCCCACCCCCACCCCCACTCCGGGGGTGTACCACAGTCAGCTGTTCTCAGGTCAGAGGGCTGGCTCTCTTTCCTCTTCCTGCCCCGTCTGCCTTCGGGGCCAGTCTGTCTACCCTGCCCTAGCTGGGCATGGGGGTGCTAGAGAGTCCCGGGGGCGGGGGCGGGCAGGAGGGGGGCTCGGAGTCTGCAGATCCTGTTCACCAAGATGGGGGTGAAGGAGCGTGCTCTGGGAAGACGGCTCAGGGCACCCCAAGGCTGATGGTCAGCGACGCCTGTTTAGAGATCCAAAGAGTGATGGATGGCGACCCTGGGACATGGGGTCAGCGGGACAGGTCTGTCTCTGGGCTTTGCCGCCGGATGTCCAGCCTGGTCTCCTGGGGCAGCTCTGGGCCCTGCTCTCAGACTCTGGTCCCTTTGTGGTCTTCTAGGCTGTGTGCCCCTAGAAGGCGGAGCTGAGTCTCAGCACCCAGGCCCCGGGACGTCTGCCGTCATCATCATGCGCTGATTTGAGAGCAGCATCTGTCCCAGGCACTTCCCACTCTTCAGCGTCAGTCCTCCGAGAACCAGGGCTATTAGGTATCCGCAGACCTGTTCTCCTGATGGAAAGCAGCAAGGCTCAGAGAAGTTACATAGCTTGCCCCATAGCAGGTGCACCCTGCTGGAGCCGGGGGTGGGGATTAGAGTTGTGGCTTCCAATGTCTGGTCACTGCCTGCTCCGGGACCCCGTTCTCTATCTGCATCGTCTTGTGCTGTCTGATGCATCGGCTCCAATTCATGGCCACCCTGCGTGTTACAGACTAGAGCGCCACAGGGTTTGCTCAGCTGATCTTCATGGAAGCAGATCGCGGGCCTTTTCTTCCCAGGGGCTGCTGGTTTTTGAACTGCAAACCTTTTAGTTGCCAGCCACGGGCAAACTGTTTGTGCCACTCAGGCGCTTACTCCACATGTCCGAGGGGCTGAGGGCA